AACGTCGTTTTGATATTAATCTAAAAATCCTTATTTTTGTGATAACAATATTTATTATACACTTTCAGTCATGTTAATTTTGATAGATTGTTATTAAAAAATAAAAAAATTATCGATAATTACAAAAACATTTTGGTGTTTTTTTACAACATATTTCTATTTTCAACTGAGTGTCAAATGCTATCAACCCGAGTAATTATAGTATAATATATATTATAATTAAACTTAAAGAAGAAATGGAATAGTACAAAAAACAATTTGTAAAATGCAGACGAAACTGCTTTATTATATCAATTATTGTTATTAAAAACTCTTTCAAGTTGCTCTTTAAATTTCGGAGTAAACCCAAAGAAAATATTACTATGTTAGTGTTTATTTTTTAAATTGTTCCAAAATACTTCGTTGTTCATTGGTAAATCAACAAAATTCAAATATTTTAAAATAGCCGAATATACAATTGTCAAAAACAATTATGTATAACATATGAATTCTTGGATGACAACGTATCTATTTCAAAAATAGTAGTAAGATTGAGAAACTGAATTGAGAATTCAAAATCATAACGTTTTATTCATATTAGAAAATGCTCTATATCATAAATTATTTTTGGGGGTAAACTAAGTGTTTTATGATAATTAAAATGAGTATTTAAATATTAACGACAAGGTAAAAATGATGCTAGGAAATTTATCCCAGGACGAGTTCTCACATTTTTTAGTTTTAATAAAAAATGTTGTTTAAATAATAATTACAATCATTTATTTGTTTTATTTATAACTATTTTAAGCTACTATATAGTGTTGAAAGCATATAAACCATTTTTTAATATTATAATTGAACAAATATGGTTATTTTTATCAATAATATCAACAAACATGTAAATATATTTTTTGGAAATTTTTATCGAGTTATTTATAATAAAAAACAAAAAAAATGCATTTTAAACACATTTCGCTGCACAAATCAATGGAAAATATATTTATAAATAGTTTATTTTACTATACTTTTGTTGTCACAAAGGCAGAAAAAGATTCAATAATTAATCATCAGCAACAAAAAAATAATCAAACTATTTTAAATAGAAACTAAAACATATTATAATAAAAGTTAAAAAATAAGTTTTTTATATAAGTTGGTTTTTGTAACGTGTTAGTTATGTTAAGATTGCCAAAATGTGTATGAGGCATTTTATAATTTATTTTTTTGTTATTTTTTGTTTTTTCATTGAAAAAAGGTAATTATTATGTGTTGTGTTTTTCTTTTGAATATATATTAATATAAACGTGAAGTATTTATATATTATTTTAAAATAAACGAGATCATACTAAGTAAATCGGTTATTAAAATAGTTCAAAATCCAAAATTAATACCAAATATTTATTACAATCGAAAAAAACATACAAAAATCAAAATCGTTTTATATTATTATACATTCAAATCAACAATTATTTACATTGATATATATTTTTAAATTCGAAAATTAGTTAAAAAGAAAGGTTTTCTGTTTATAACATGAGATAATCGATATATAATACAAATAAAAAACTAAAAATAACAATCAAAATTACTAACAAATGGACAGTCCAACTCAAGAACACAAAGTTGAATTTGTTTATTCAACAAAAAAACACTTTTACCATGTTTTGAAGGTTATATTTTTTTATTCAAAAGACTCTTCACATAAACGGTATAGTTGTAAAGATTGTGGAGTAACTATTACACTTGTAAAAGAAGTTGTTGATGAAGAAGTTAATTATCTTGTTGGATTAAAGCCACAACATTTGAATGGTCATACAAATCACATGGAATATATTCAGAGATTGAAAGAAATACAAAAAATCAGAACAGAAATCTATGATGATAAAAACAAATATAAACCAGTTAAAGAAATAGTAAAAACTTGTTTAATAAACACCAATTCAAGACTGAGTGTGTCCAGTAGATTAGCAAGAACATATAAAAATAAATTATACAAAACAGTAACCATTGATAATTATTTTGAAAATGAAAAAGTAAAGAACATTTTATTGTATAGAAACGAAGACAATACAATTATTATTTTTGGTTCGAAATCAATGTTAGAAAAAGCCACATACGTCAATGTTATTTGTGTAGATGGCACTTTTAGTAGGTGCCCAACAACCCATTATCAGTTGGTGACATTCCATGTTGTATGTAGTGACTTGTTTTCATTTTCTTGTTTTTATGTTTTGTTAAATAAAAAAGATGCAACAGTATACAAAGAAGTATTATTTGTTATTGATCAAATATCTTTGATATTATTTGGTGTTCCAATTTTTAATAAAACCGATTCAACAATATATTCCGATTTTGAGGCAGGTTTTATAAAATCTATTAGAGATTTGAGTTGTCAAATGAAAGGGTGTTATTTCCATATTACACAATGTTTGTGGCGGAAAATTCAAAACTTTCACTTGTCTGAAAAATATAAGTGTAATGGGCAAATCTCCAAAGAAGTAAGAAGACTTATGACACTTCCTTTTTTGAAAGAAACAGATTTAAAACATCAATGTTATATATTACAATCACGTATAAAAGATAAAGATTCTTTTATTGTTTATGAATATTTCGAAAACACTTGGTTAAATGATGTAATGATTTCGATTTGGTGCCACCATGATTTAATGATGCGCACCAACAATATAGCAGAATCCTTTCACAGCATGCTTTCTCGAACAATTCTTACACCAAAACCATCTTTTGGAAAATTTATCGATTATTTGTTGGACATTATAAATGAGACCGACATAAAAGTTCAAACTGAAATGACAAATCCAAAAAGTAAGAAAACCAAACAAAAACCACTACGAAGTGTATTCAAATGTTAGTCAATCGGTTTTACACTGATAAAATTATAAATTGTAATATTGAATTGTTGTTAGATACTATTTTTGCAAAACTTCATTCGAAAAACTTGTTTGGATGCTTTTTTGAATCAGAAGGAGAAACACTTGAAAGTATTAATTCAAAGGAAATTCAAAATATAGTAAGTAGTACACAAATAGATTGTGTAATAATTGGAGAAAAAGAAATGGAAAAAATATCAAGTATTAAACAAACAATAACGAACAATTCAAGCCAATCGAATTTGATAAATGAAATGGAAACTAAAACTTCGGATAATTAAAATACGCCAAATTGTTATTTTCAAAGTGCTCCAAAGTTGAATGAAAATAAAACAAAAAGAAAATGCAACTGCTTGCTATTAACAAAAAGGCAAAAGAAGTTAAGAAAAAGTTTGGCAAACAAAAACGCCAAACCAAAAAAATAATTGATTATGAACTTTAACGTGTTTTGTGGTTTTTGTTTTTTTATATTTTTAGTTTATTGTAAGTCAAAAAAATAAAATACATTATGTGCTGAAAAGAATGTTCTGTTAAAATTGGGAGAACTAATCATGGGATAAAAAATTATCCACCCGAAAAAATAATTTTGTGCTAAATTGATCAAATATAAGTGTTTTTTTTTCAAAATCAACATCTGCTCTGTTTTAGTTGTGTGATTCTAGTATTAATGGCACTTAAAAACTATTACAGAACGATGTTATGTAATTCTTATCATGATGTTTTACTTGCCTCACAATGTTAGCATACCAAATACACAATTCCAAAAAAGATAGTTGGAGATGTCATAAAATTTGCGTGTTATTGTTGGAATGAAAAAGTGTTTTCTGAGTCAATTCGAAACGCTTGGAATTATGCTATATTTGGAAATATTGTTCAAGTTCAAAAATTCAACACGTTGATTATAATTCAGAAGAATAAGCAAATGAAAACTTTCCACGAGTTATAAGCAATGCAGATAAATACGGGTTATTTACTCTTAGAGGTCAAAAAATAGGCCATGATTGATACAAAAACAATTCAAAACAAAATTTAAAGAAAAAAATAAAAATACAACGATAAAAAAGTAATTCGTGTTGAAGAAAATGAAGTTGATCACATGAAATAAAAAATATAATCTGTGCGACAGTGTTGAAGACATATATATATGGAAATTGTAACCAAGTGATAAAGTTTTTGGTGTTGAAAGTAAATTAAAATATTAATATTTTTAAA